ATATGCAAAAAGCAAAAATTAAAATAAATCAACCTTGCAATATCAGTTGTGAAATAAATGAACAAATACCTGAGCTGAAAAGAGTGGCAAAACAAGTATATAGTTTCTTTTTTTTAAAATAAAAAAAGTCAGTGAGACATTAGTACAGTAGCTAAAGACCATTAAGGAATTCCAAAGCAAAGAGCAGTCCTTGGAAAAAAAAAAAACCAAGCAAAAAGTAAATGCAGTTGAACTCAAAACATTAACAAAAATGGATATGTGGAATTATAGGTACTATCTGAAAGTGGATTTATTTGCCTTGCTTCTATAGAAATAAATATCTGTTTATCTTGAACAGAACTCAAGATATCTACATTTGATGGAAGTGAGGTCGTCTGGTTTCAGTGGTGAAATTAGCCAGAAAATTGCCGCCAAAGTTTGGTAACTCCAATAGCTAAAGAGTCTTTGAAAACTGAAAAATGACATATTTTGTGCCTTTAATCTATGTATTTCAGAAAAAATTAACATGGAAATATGTATTATATGGACATAAAAAAGGTTAAGCCAAAAATAAAAATTGGAAAAATATTTCCAAACTAGCGGAAAAAAATGCCGGTTTCTCCGATTTCGTTATTTTGATGAGCCGTGATTTCCCCACACTGCTTTACAAATGGTTTGGGGGAAAAGGGCAAAAAAGTGACTACATTCCTCAAACTGTAAGAGAATAAAGACAGAGTCTTTATTATTAACAAAAGCATAATTATACAGTAAACATTCTCAAGTCGATATTTAAAAAACTGTAACATGTCCCAAGACTGACACTCACAAACAAAAATGTAATGACTGTCTGCCGATAAAAAGCAGTAAGAGGGGTGGCAGAGAGGAGAGAGAGAGAGAGAGAGAGAGAGAGAGAGAGATACAGAGAGAGAGAGAGAGAGAGAGAGAGAGAGAGAGAGAGAGAGAGAGAGAGAGAGAGAGAGAGAGAGAGAGAGAAAGGATAACCAGACAAACAAAGAGAGAGAGGATATGAAACACCTGCAACAATCTCAGAATGCTTTCTCTCTTCATAATCATTATCATGGCTACAATATGATTAATATATTTAAAGCAGAAGTAACAGCAGTAGCTAATAATTAGTTGTATCATAATTTTGATAATCAATATTATCACTGTGTTTACAATCATCATTACGGCTGAGGTGATGATAATGATTATAATTTTTACGGTTATACGTTTTACAGTTAATATCAAGCATTCTGTTATTCTGTATGTTTAAGATCTGGTGAACCACAAAACATAATTAATATATATATACTCTACAGTCAGTAAAATATGAATATGGAAAGCTGAAAACATAATAAAGGGAATTTTATTTGGAGCAAAAAATGAAGATAAACGGGGCCTACGGTACATAGTATAAAAACATCGGAAAAAACCCCCCCAGAAACTGAAATTATTGAGAAAAAACAAACAAACAAAAGGAACGGAAAAGAAAAGAAAGGAGCTACATTACCATGAAATTAAAAAAAAAATTAAATGATATCTCTGACTAGAGGTAAATCTCACAACATCAGACAGGCAGTAAAGAACAGTAGAGAGAACAAAAGTCCAGACAATTTTTGGAGTACCGGTAGTGTTTTAAAGGGCATGAACGTCTGACTTACTAGGTCCAGAATAAACTATGAGTAACAACGAAACCATTTTGCTATACAGGTCAAACCAAATTAAGAAACTTAAAACTATCCAAAATCAGACAGTTTATATTTGCACTCTCCTTTTCACACTGCAGTATTTATCTCCCCTTACTTCATCAATTCCCCAACCCCCAACCAAAAAACAACAAAAAAAACCCACATGTACTTACTCTCTTAACTCACCACTCACATAGTCGGTGAATCAGAGAAGTATTACTCCATCTAAAACCCACTAATGAAAGAGTGGTGTCTACTACAGTTGGAAAAAGAATTTGAAAAGACAAAACATGCAGGGCATACAGAATTTGCCAAAGATCTTCCTCTATCATTTGGAAAACATTGATCATAACCTCAGTCACAAACATAAAATCGAATTTTTAACAAAGAGTGGAGAAAAAAAATTAACATTAATTGTGCAAGCAAAATATGTGGTTATATTCATTTTTTAAAATGACTTTAGGTGGTAATAGTGCACTTATAAACAAAATAAGCTTCATCACACCCACAGTCCACAAAGAGTGTGGGGCTTAAAGAGGGCGTATCTACTTGAACGAACGTTAAAAAATCCACAAAATATTTTCAATATTATGTCTTTCAAATGGAGGCCCTTTTTGCTATCCAAAAGTAAAAAGACTAATTCAGAAGTATACAGATGCCTGAATGTACTTATATGCAATTACTAACATCTTTTTTCTAAATTCATCTCATTTGTCTTACTTTAAAAAAAATTATGAAGATCAATTATATGCTGGTAAATTAAAGAGTCCTACTATTGCATCATGGACGATAGAACGTCACCGATCACTCGGAATGTTCAAGAGCCTTATGCCCTGGAAAGAGTTTAAAAAACAACACAACGTAGATAACACATTTCAGCACTACTTCTTGTGTTCTGGTTAGATCCAAATAGTGAATGTAATACCAACCCAGCAACTCCATAAAGAGTATAAAACTGAACGCATAAAAAAAAAGCCATAAATAATAATTTTTTTAACAACTGACTCCATTAAAAAAAAACCAGTACAAGCTCTTAGGAAATGAAATGCTGGAACCAAATCACAAAATTCAGAAGCCATTGGTGCTATTCTT